AAGATGATTTACTATTGGCAGGTAGGGACTGGTTGCAAGACCTGTCTCAGGTTGGGAAAAATTATTTCGTTTCCTTGAAGATTTGAATTCTGCATTTGTGAGTGGGTTTCTGTACACATTTTCCTATTTTCCTTTAAATAATCCACAAGGCCTCATTTGTTTTATGGGGTTTAGGGAAACCACACGTTTCACTTTTTTTTTTTTTTAAATAGAAGCATACATTTTCCTTAGCTAGTTTTCTCCCCCCCACCACCCCTTACTCCTGTCCCAACCTCTTTTCTTTTTCCTTGCTCACGGTTCCGTTTCGCTTTATCCTCTTTCCCTTCATCTTTGTCCTCCAATCTCTCTGCAGTTTTGGACCCAGTTTTGCACTCTTTCTCCAAAGATTTGGCTTCCTTCTCTGCCTTTCTCCCTCTATCTTCCTCAGGATTTTTTTTTTTTTTGGGCGCAGTGGCGGGGCGGTGGGGGGCACTTTTCTCCTAATGGTAGGTGAAACCAGCCTGGGTATTTTGGAAATGTTTTGGTGAAAACTGTTGCTGGTTTTTTTTTTTTAAGTCAAATTCCATATACTCAATAATAATAATAATAATAATAATAATAATAATAATAATAAAAGGTCTTTGTCTCACAAAGGCAGAAAAATTCCACAAAGCAGGAGCCCATGTGAATTTCTCAAGTCTTATTTCTGGCTTTTGGATTTTTCTTTTTTTTAAGATTTATTTATTTATGCATACAAGGTACAGGCCAGAGATGCGGGTGGTGAGAGGATTCACCAGAGACAGAGCAGGGAACAGAACAGACAGACTGACTGAAATACACTGCTGAGGGGAGCAGCAGGAGAGCCAGGAGAGGTCTCCTGCGCCATGTGGGTTGCTCCCTGGCCGGTGGTATCAAACTGGTACTGCAGAGGCTTCGAATTGCTTCATAGTGCGGTGCTTAACTCCTTTCGCCACCAGGGAGACCCCCTGGATTTTTCTTTTAAATGGGAAAAATACCCTTCCCCCCAGTTTTCCCTTGATTGCCCCCCACTTGTTTTTAATTTTCATTTTTTGCCCACTACTTTCCCTTCAGGTCTGGTTCACTCTTCAGTCCTCTTTCTCCCCTCTCCTCTCTTCTGAAGTCAACCTATCCCTATTACTTGCTTGTTCTATCCCCTGACCCCTTGCACTTGTGGGAGACCCAGCCCCAGCGAAGCAGGGAGTGCTCTGAGAGTTTTGTCTTGGTTCTGATCAGGGTTCACCAGGGCAGGAGGGGAGAAGGGAAGGAGCCTGGGTCTGGGACAGGTAATCTTCCAGAGGGAGCTTCCAACTCTCTTAACAAAGGAGGGACAGTCTCCTTTTGTCTGGGGCTGGGGAGGTGTGTCGATGGCCCAGAACTGCCACCCCCACCGCCACCAGTGGCTGGCAGAAGGGGGCAGCAGGGGCGGGGCTCATGAAGGGTTTCTAATAGAACCTGAGTGATTCTTCTCTGTGTGCCCCACAGGAGAGAAAAGGAGGCCTCCTCCTCTGCCATCCCCAGCATTCAGAATACCACTCTTCCTGGAAGGCCGCTTTCCAGGAGCCAGCAGTCCCTGTGGGAACTGGGTGAGGGGAGAGCACTGTCTGAGAATCCTCTCTGCCCACCTTCAAGATTAAGGCCACTGGCTGGAGAAGGACAATTGACCATTGTTCTCTTTTCCTGTTGCTCCCCTGGGAAGGGTCTGTTGCTTCTCTGATTGAGAACTTTGAGGGGCATGGTAGGCTTTGCTCTTGCTCCATTTCTGGAGGCTCTGTGGAGACGCTCCACTGTCCCTCAAGGGACTAATCTCTCCAACATGCCATTGACCTTTGACCCCTCCCTCCTTTCAGGAGTGATCTCCACCCATTTCCCTAACTTCCCTTCCCTCCTTTATCTTCCCTACACTTGTCACTTGCTCAGGTTCAGAATCAACCCATGTTCAGCACCTCTCTTCCACCGGGCACTGTGGTCTGTGAGATGGAACATGCCAGAATTCTCCAGGAGGCTCACAATGGCCATTTTCTGTTCCTTGTCTAATATTTATTATAAATCAAAATGTCAGAAAAACACCCCTGTGGCAAACGTAAACCCCCTTGTAGTTCCTCCCATCGTATCTTGGCTATAGAAAGTGAGATGGCGTCTCACAAGGTGGAGAGGCTAGGTTTGCTATCTTATGCTGCTCAGCTCATATCTCTGGCTAATTGGACCAAAGCTGGTTATTAACATAACGTTAATTATTGAACACCACCCTCAGAGGCCTGGCCAGTCCGCTCTGACACCTGCCTCCTGCTCTCTCACCTCCGTTTCTTTCAGGGTCAGCTGTGAGCTCACTTCAGACCGTTCAGGGCTCAGACCCGGGTCCCAGATGCTGGGCGGCACCTTTCCCATTGTCAGGGTTTAGCGCCAGCTTAGGGCTGCAGGTTTTGTTCTGGCACACCCCAGGCGCTCTTCCGGGAACCTTTCTGCCAAGCATAAAGGCCACAGACACAGGGTTTCAGATGAGGAAGAAAGGGGCATGAGTGAGCAGTGACCTTTTTTCTTTGCCAGCTGAGGGCTGCACCTCTCCTGGGGAGAGGGCAGCTGTAGAGACTGAGGTCTGGGAATCAGACTTTATTTCTGTTTTATATTCCTTTAATAGTTGTCTCCTCCTTAACTGCTTCTGAAGGCCCAAGCCTGACTGCTCAATAGCTCTACCTGAGGGAACCCTGCGGAGAAGGAGTTGGTCTCTAACCTTCCTACCAGCCTGGGAAGAAGTCCTGGGAGCAGGGGTTCTGCTCTCTTCTCTGTGGCTTGCCTTCCCAAGGTTGTCTTGCATTTCCTGATAGAGCCTACTCCTATCTGTTTTGTCCTCTCATTTCCTAGCTCTCTTCCTCTCGTTTCGGTTTTTTATTTAATACTCTTGCCCCTTGAGCCGTATGGTTCAAGCCCTTTAGTCTGAATCAAATGGCGGGGGAGGGGGGTGTTCACAAATGAGTTTTCCTGTTTCTCCAACCAAGAAACACTAAACAAGGATCAAGTGGAGGGGGCAAAGGTGGGGGGCAAAGAATGAAACCTAGGAGCTGTTGGGATGGCTTTGGTAAGGCTCAGCGGCCATCAGAAGTAGTGTCCATCTTCCTGCCTTTGTCACTGCTCCCAGGCTAGTGTTTATGACTATGTGTAGTGCTTGTCAGCCGAGTGCTGTGACAGGAGGCTATTTTAATAAACTGTTGCAGTTTCTCAAGCCGAGCTGCATTGCGTTGGCATCCCTCGTCACTGCTAATGGAACGTGCGTGGCTGGGTGTGAGCTGAGGGAGGTTGCCGGCTTGGGGGGTGCTGGGGAGAAGGGGGAACCCCCCCATCTGGGAGTGCCCCTGCATGCATCCGCCAGACCAGGGGATGAAGGGGTGGCCGCACCCTGGGTGCTGGGTCCCTGCCCTGGAAGTGCTGCCGGCATCCACATTTTCCGAGCTCTCTTTCTTCTCTTTCTATTCATAGCATTGCAGGCTCTTGTGTACCCGGAGAAGAAAACTTCCACTCGCCCTGTGCGCTCCATAAATAAAAAAAAGAAATAGAACCAGAAAAAGAGAGAGTGTTCAGGCCCAAGAGAAAGAGACTGAAACCAAACACACAGAGAAGGCGCAGCTGCTTTCCCCAAGGCCTTCTGGGGCTCCCGCCCCGCCAGCCCGCCCAGAGTCAGGCCTTTATTTATTTATTTTTCTGGCTTTAAAAAAAAAAAAAAAAAAGAAAAATTCCTCATCTTTCTCCATCTACTCTCCCCTACCCGCAAGCCCCCCCCCACACTTCCAAATTTGCTGGGTGGCCGCTGCCAAATGGACCCGAGTGGAAGCTTGGAATGAAAAATTCATAACTGCTGGACTTTGCTTGTTCATTAGACATGAACTTGTCGATTGGGCAAATTGTTTTTGGTCTCCAACTGCCGGGGGCTCTCCCCACCCACCCGGCCCGCCCGGTTCCCTCCTCCCCTTGGACGCAGCCATTGGCTGCTGGAGGAGGTCTCCTTGCCAAATAGGTGGATCCTTCTCTCTCTCTCTCTCTCTCTCTCTCTCTCTCTCTCTCTCTCTCTCTCTCTCTCTCCTCTCTCTTCTCCCCCCCACCTTTTTTTTTTTTTTTTTAACTGGCTTTGGCACACGCAAATGGATGGGGATTGAGCATGAAAGGGGAGAGAGGGAGTTTGAGAGAAAAGAAGCAAAAAAAATCCAACCAGCGCCTCTCTCTCTCTCTCTCTCTCTCTCTCTCTCTCTCTCTCTCTCTCTCTCTCACACACACACACACACACACACACACACACACGCGCGCGCGTCCCATCCCATCCACGGCCTCCTCAGCTCTCTCCCTCATCCACGTCCTCCTCAGCTCTCCCTTTCCCTCCTTCCCTGCTCCCTCCCTCGCTCCCTCCCGAGCGCGTCTGCCCGCGACGGTCTGCAGCCGGCCCGAACTCGTCCTCTTCCCCGGAATCTGCGAGCTCCCCCTTTGCCTGCGAACGGGCTCAGCGGCTGAGGGAGGCAGCTCGAAGTTTACACCCCTGTGTCGCTGCCAAAGCCGAAAGCCTTTTTCTTCAGCTGCCGATTTTGCCCCTCTTGGTTTTGTTTTTGTTTTTGTTTTGAGGAGGGATGGGGGGTGGTAGGAGAGGGTAGGGGGTGTTGAGTTGGGGGGGTTGGGAGGTAGGTTTTGAATTTTAAATTTTGCATATTTTTCTATTTAAACTGGAAGAGGATGCACAGGAGGCGAAATTAAAAAAAAAAATTGTTGGCTTTTGTTTACCTGGCGTGTGTGGCAACCAGCTTGCTCCCTCTCTCTGCCTGCTATCCCTGACCTTTCTTTCTTTTTGCTCCTTTTCAAAAAAAATATTAATTTCCCCCTTCTGTGCAATGGAGCGTGGGGGGGGGGAGGGGGAAGGGTATGAGAATCCACCCAAGCCCGGCCCCTATTCCCCAGAACACCAATAATAACCCCCTCTAAAACATTTACCTTCCTCCCCTGCTCCTCCCCCACCCTCCCCCACCCGCCCCCAACTCACAACTCTGTTGAGTCCAGAAGCTCAGAATCGGGGCGTTGGGCTTTGCCGGGTGCTTCAGATCAATGGTAATTATTTATTTTTTTCCAGTTTTATTTTTGTAAACAGAAATCAATTATTATTTAAACTTCAAACAAGCAAACAAGCAAAAAAAAAAAATCCCAAAACCAAAAATTGAGATCCTGGCCCTCTGTCACCTGACCGAGTGGGAAAGAAGGTGAAGGGGTCAGTGGGGATGGGGCCGCAGGACGCCCCCATGTAGCTTTTAACCAGGATGTGGCCGCGACTACCACCTTGTTTGTGCTAACAAGAAGTGTTTTGTTCCTTATTACTGTGATTAACATTAGTATCGGTGTCTGTAACAAAGCTGAAATCACATATTTAGGATTTAGATCTGATTAAAGAAATGTTGGGGTGGATGTTCCAATTGGAGCAGGCGGAATGAGAAGGAAAACAGCCTGGGGAAGGGGAAGCCAAATCCGTTTCCTCGCTCGGTCCCTGACTGGCTCGCTAGTCTAGGTCATGTTCTCTCTTCTTGGGGATGGCCCAGACCTGGTCGGTGTCGGACCCGCGTCAGCGCAGACCGGACCCCTCACCAGGGCGAGCTGACACGAGTTCTCTGCTGCGATAGAACATGGAGATGTCATGGGCGAGACAGAGCCTGGCGGGGATACCAGCCGCGTGTGTGTGTGTGTGGACTGCAACGTTGTCTGTGCGCGCGTGTATGTGAGTGAGAGAGAGAGAGAGGGAGAGAGAGAGAGAATAGGTGTGTGCTCAGGCTTGGGGTGTCTCTGTCTGGCTGCTGAGGCTGAGATGGGAGCAGGCGGCTGCATGGGCTGGTGGTGGCTCCAGACCACACTTTCCTGAAACAATCGCAAGAGAAAATTGTCTTGTTGGGGGGGGGGGAAGCGAAGAATTTTCCGTTTTTCCTGTGCCCCCTTTCTAACGCTTCTTTTCTCCCTTTTCTCTCCCCCCCTCACCCCTTCTTCCCCTCCTCCGGTCCCTCCTCGCCCCGCATGCTCCCGGCTTGCCGCCTGCAGGATGAGTTCCACCCGTTCATCGAGGCGCTGCTGCCTCACGTCCGCGCCTTCTCCTACACCTGGTTCAACCTGCAGGCGCGGAAGCGCAAGTACTTCAAGAAGCACGAGAAGCGGATGTCGAAGGACGAGGAGCGGGCGGTGAAGGACGAGCTGCTGGGTGAAAAGCCCGAGATCAAGCAGAAGTGGGCATCCCGGCTGCTGGCCAAGCTGCGCAAAGACATCCGGCCCGAGTTCCGAGAGGACTTTGTGCTGACCATCACAGGCAAGAAGCCCCCCTGCTGCGTGCTTTCCAACCCCGACCAGAAGGGCAAGATCCGGCGGATTGACTGCCTGCGCCAGGCCGACAAGGTGTGGCGGCTGGACCTGGTCATGGTGATTTTGTTTAAGGGGATCCCCCTGGAAAGTACTGATGGGGAGCGGCTCTACAAGTCGCCCCAGTGCTCGAACCCCGGCCTGTGCGTCCAGCCACATCACATTGGAGTCACAATCAAAGAACTGGATCTTTATCTGGCTTACTTTGTCCACACTCCCGGTAGGTCGCTCTCAATTCTCAACATCTCCCTTCGCTCCCCGCCCCCATTTTATTTTACTTGCTGGCATTTGTTCTGTTTATTGTTTCTATTTCCAAACTACAGCAGCCCTGGTAAGCCCCTTCATCCTGCTGAGGCCTGCAGCACGCCTTCTGCAGCACCGGTTCCCTTCTGTGTCCCTCCATCCTCTCTATTCTTCCTCCTTTGCTCCCAAGCCCTTACCAGTTTTCATGCATCTCCATCCATCTTTGAAGGACTCCTCTTACCTAAAAGATTCTGCAGGTCTTATGACCAAAAGAATACCCCAGAATTATCCAGGAGGGCTAGAGTTCGAGATGAGTACACCCCCCCAAAAAAAATCACTCGCTGCTCTGATTTAAAATGAGTCAGAAGTATTGGGGAGCAGGTGCTGGCTTCCCTGCGGCTTCTCCTCAAGTTGTGAGGAACAGCCGGATTTGGCACCAGCCGGGTGGTGGAGAGAGTTCCACCACCAGTTCGGTGGAGAGAGGAGTGTGTCAAACCCCAGAATGTAAAATGGGATGGATAGAAAAGCTGAGTGAGGGCAGCAGGGTGGGGGGCCCAGATGTGCAGGCAGGATCTGTTTTACCTGGGATTTGACTGTCAAGAGTAGGAAAGCCATCTGATTTTTGGAGAGAGAGAAGAAATGGGCACGAGCTTCCTTGCACTCTACTCTTCCCCAGCATCTTATCTTTGATGGATGCCCGCAGCCCTGCACCTTTGCTGGGGGTGAGAGAGAGGCTTTCCAGAGGTATGGCATGGGGTGGAGTATCTGCTGAAGAGGTCTTAAGCCAGCCAGCCAACCAACCAACTCTGTAAAAATGTTCTTTCCTTTTGTGTTCCAAGTAGTTCCAGTCTGCTTTGCTTTTCCAATTCTACCCTGCATTTTAGGTCGGGGTAGTGCAGTTCTCCTCCCCTGTTCCTTTCCTCCCCTTCTCTTTCCCTTTTTATAATTTCTTTCCGCTTTTGTTTTCTTACAAATTGAAACAGAGATGGCTGGTTAATTTTTAGCCTCCACTCAGCTACGCCCAATTTACTGCCGCCTTTGAAACCTAAACGGGCAGCACTCTGTGATTAAGCAAGGCAGAAGTGTGTTTACATTATGCCCAACCAACTTGTAATGAGAGGGCTACCAAACCTTCCTCTGTGTGTGTGTGTGTGTGTGTATGTGTGTGTGTGTTTCCTTTCCACCATTCCAGTATTTCCCCTCATCTCCCTTTTTCTCTTTATCCGAATGTGGAACTCTAGCAAATATTCTTTCCCCACAAATAAGTGTGTGTGTCTCTTGCTTCCTGTTCATTCACAAAAAGAAAAAGTAACTCACTTTTCTGCTGTGGTCACCCCCTTGCCTGTTTGGAAGTTGGGAGGAGCAGTATGACTTCATTCAGAAATGAAATTTGGGGGCACCTTCAGCATTGCATCAGGAACATAATCTCAACAGGGATTAGCACTGGGAGTTTCTGGGTTGGAGAACTGTGAGGAGGGAGGGGTGGTATTTAAGGTCTCTCTTCTTGCTCATTCTCTCTCCTGAAAGGTGGCTTTGGTAGTTGGTTGGAGGCGGTGTTGGTATCTCCCCTCTCCATGGATTCTTCAAGGCCTGCACCTGGAGCCGTGATTTCATGGCCCCTCAGTTTCTTCCCTTGTGTGTTTTTTATTGTCTGGGAAAGAGACTAAAGAAAATAAAGAAGTTAGCCCCTCTTTCTCTATCCACAAAGCAAGTCAGCGTGGGGATGGTATATTCTGGTAGTGTTGGAGGTGGGGGAGGAGGCTTTGATCCTGGAGAAAGCCAGTGTGTCTGTCGCAAAGCTCCTTTTCTGGGGGATTCTGTGCCTTCTGATCTTAGCCCAGGAGCCCAAGAGCTCCTAAGATGAAACTTACTACTCATCTTTCTCAAGAACTGGCTTCCTCCTACAAAGCTCTCTAGCAGGATCCCTGTAGCTGAACTGGTTCCCTGACCTCTTGTATTTTAGATCCACTTCTAGGCAGCAGCCAATGTGGAGCTGAGGTGGGATGAAGTGTGTGGTGGAATAGATTGTTCCCACCAGTCCCCTAGCTCTTGCACTGACCAGGTGGGCCGGTATCAGGAGAAGGGGCCACCGCTTTCCCCCCACTTGCCTTTAGCTGTAACAACATCACTGGCTCAGGATGCATGAGTTCATGCCCCTTGCAGGCAGCAAGGCTAACCCTGCCCTAGCTGAGGCTGAGTTTCTACTACAAAAGCTGAATGGAGAATGGAAGCTTTTCCAGTGAAGGTAGTAATTTTCTTGCTGGAATTGCTTTAAGTTAGATCGGCCTCAAGGAAGGAGTGGGAGGAATTGGTGTGACCTGAGCCACCAGTAGGCCTTGGTAGGTGGTCTCAGTATGGTGCGGAGGAGCCAGCACAAAGGTCTCCAGAGCTACCATGGTTTACTAAGCCCCCAGTCCACTTTGACCCCAAAGCACAGCCTTTTGTATGACTGACTCAGGCATGCTCAGCTGGAGGCCACTTACTCCTTCCTTCCAGTATAAATTGGGGACTGGAGCCTGGGCTGCAAAGGCCCAGAGGGGAGTAGCTTTGGACTCTAAAGAAGTGCTTTCCTATCCCTTAAAACTGGCTGAAGCATCTAATCAGGCTGGGCTGGTGTTTTGGGGTTTGATGACAGGAGAACTAGGCATGATGGTTAGTAGGGGTGGGGAGGCATAGCACTATCTTCATCCAGGGCCCTCAGGGCCCTTGTTTTGCCCCATATAAGGGTTCAAGAAGTTGCATAGTTGAGAGGGAAGAGAGGACATGAGTATGACTTCGGAGATTCCCCTTTCAGAACGCAAGATCCAAAAAGCTGCCCAGAATACCTTGTGACCTCTGTGGGGTCAGCCTCCTGTGTATCTTGTGTCCATCCATTCAGGAGGAGGGGGTGAGGCAGAGAGAACTGACATGGGGACAAGGCAATCCATTCCTGGAGATGTCTTTTCTTTCCAAGGGGTGTCCTAGGGTAGGCGGCTGGAGCTGGAGGGGAGCACGGGACCCGTCACCCTTTGCTTGTGTGATGAAGAATGGCTGAGCTGGTCTAGACGCGCTATCAGATTATGCCCAAAACTTCTGCAGAACCCTGAAGGTGAACCTGCATTTACAGACCTTCCTTAACCTATGCCACCATCCTAGGAAAAGAAAAAAATCTGAAAGGAATAAATGGTTTACTGATTGGAAACCTCAGCTCCCCTCTGATGGTGTGGTGGAAGCCCATGGAGTCTAGGAAGTCATTTGGTTCTTTTCTTTACCTCAGCCTTTTCATTGTGGAAAAATTTACACATAGACGGTACCCCCATTAATGGCCACAGATACCCACTAATGGCCAGTCTTGATTCATCTGTACCACCCTACTGCCCACCTATCCTGGATTGTTTAGAAGAAAGCCAGGCATCGTAGACTTTCATCTGTAAATATTTCGGTACCCGTCACTTAAAGAAGTCTGATAAAACATATTCACAACACCACTATCACACCTAAAAAATAATTAACAATTTCTGCAGTACCATCAGGTAGCAAGTCAGTGTTTGTATTTCCCTTATTATCTCTTGATGTTATTTGTCTGAATCAGGATATAAATCAGGTCTAGGCATGGCTGTGGGTTGATCCGCTTCTTGAGACTCCTAATCTCTAGGTAGTTCTCTCTCCCTTCTTCCTTCCTTCGTCTTGGTTTCTCTTCTGGCTGTTCGGCGTTGTTACTGACGTAACCAGATTGTTTGTCCTGTGGTCTCCCTGTCTGGGCTCTGCAGGCTGTGTTCCTTGGGTGGTTCCATGGACTGCTTCATACCTGAGGATTTGTCTAAGTGAACTTTCCAAGTGTGAGGTTGCCCTGCTGCATATAAGAACACTCTGTTTTTTTGCTCTCTGCCTCAGGGCTCAGGAATTTGCAGGGAAAGTTGGTTATAGGGCCCATGGGAGGGCTCCTCATCGCCACCCTGATGAGGGGTCAGGGGTAGAGGAGGTGTTGGCTAACCCCAACCATGACCCCTGTACCACCTCACCCACTGCTTCTCTTTTCAAGGGTTAGAAATGCCACTGGTCTGGGGCTTTGAGGTAGCGCCATCTGGTGCCAGGGCTGGTGAGGATGTCAGGGCCCAGGAACCAGTTTCCTAAAATTAGTGATATACAGATTATCTTTTAACCCAACATAGAATCCTCTTTGAAACACTCTGGGAGAGATGTCACCACTGTTCAAAGTTCAGCTTTGATTGTTTAAAATTCTTCTGTTCCTCTAGCTCAGAGGATAAACTCAGCTAATAGGTAAAGATATGGATACGCAGCCAGCAAGCGGTGGACAGCAGCTACTGTGGTCACTGTGGTTATGATTCAGTGAATCTAAGGCCATCTCCTCCTCACTTTCATCTCCCTACTACCTTGTATCTTATTTTTGTCTTAAGAGGTGACACAGGTGAGAGCTAATTTTTCTGTAACAAGCCACCATTTTAAATGCTAGAGTAGTTGTCGTAGCTCCCTTCTACCCTGCTCCGCAGACGCTATCCCCTGTCCAGGCCATGCGTTGTTGCCAGCCCCTCACACCTCAGGCATTTGACAAAATTCCTTGTGCTGTTGCCATTTTGGTCACCACCCCCAAAAGGCCCTCTTAAACCAGAGTATTGGGTGATGAACATGGAAGCCCCAGGTGAGGTCAGTCCTAGCTGACCTTGGTAGGTAGCTATGCGTTTGATTTGCAGAACTTTCCAGCTATGTAATTTTTGGGGCCCAGTACAAAATGAAATCGTGGGACTCCTAGTTCAGAATGATTAGGAATTGCACTGCGGCAGCAGTTACACCATTAAACTAAGTGCGGGATTGTGTGACTGCCCAAGTCACATATTCGTGAAGTCAGCCCAGGCCACTTTGTTCTGGACATCTCAAATCATGGGCTAACTGGCTCTGGATATCCACAGAAGGATGGCGGGGCTCAGGCTGGCCTCAGATAGGGCATGACCCCAAAGAGGAGATCAGAAATGCTCAGAC